TTGTGCTTGATATAAGTATAGCTACCCCTGCTTTTGTTTTCCCCCCTGTCCATTGCTTATAATAGTTCTTCCATCCCTTCACTTTCAGTCTAGGTAGGTCCTTGGTTTTGACGTGGATCTCTTGTAGGCAGCGTAAGTGTGGGTCATGCTTTCTTATGCATTTAACAATCTTATGTCTTTTAGTTGGGACATTTAATCCATTTACATTTAAAGTTATTATTGATAGGTACTTACTAATATTTTCCCTTTGTACCTATGGTCCTCTCTTTCTCATTCATTTTCTTTAAGTCTCATAACCATATCTCCTAGTGCTGGTTTGTTATTGTTGCATTATTTTAGCTTTCTTTTCCTAGGAAACTCCTTACTTCATCTCGCATTTTAGTTGAGAGCCTTACTGGGTGGAGTAGTCTTGGCTGTAGGCCCTCACTTTTCATTTCTTGGAACATTTCTTGTCATTCCTTCTGGTTCGCAGTGTTTCTGTTGTGAAGTGAGCTCTTTCTCCCTTGCTGCCTTTAGGATTCTCTCTTTGTCTTGGATATTTGTCATTTTAATTATGATGTGTCTTGGAGTGGGTCTTACTGGGTTTCTCACAAATGGGACCCTCTGTGTTTCCTGGACTTGTGTGAGTTTTTCTGTCCTACAATTAGGGAAGTTTTCCTTCATTACTTTTTCAAGGATGTTATCCATCTCTTGCTCCTCTTCTTCTTCTGGTATCCATATTATATGCATATTATTACATTTCAGGTTGTCCCGCATTTACCTCAATGTCTCTTCATTCTTTTTGAGTCTTTTACTCATTTTCTTGTTCTTTCTGGGAGCTTTTTTGTATCTTATCCTCCAGCTCACTGATTCGATCTTCTGCTTCATCGAGCTTCCTTTGATTCCTTCGGCTGCATTCTTCTATTCAGATATTGAATTTTTCATTTCCTTTGGCCTCTTATTGATAGTTTCCATGTCTATTTTTCGTGCTGATACTGTTCATGATACGTTCCTCATATTTTCCCTGTAGTTCTTTTTGTATTTTCTCTGAAATCACTAAGCTTTATTAGAACATTTGTTTTGAACTCAGTATCTAATAGTTTATTTGTCTGTCTTTCATTTAATTATTTGTCTGGAGATTTATCCTTTCTCTTTGCTTGGGGCGGGGTGTTTCTTTGTCTTCCCATTATTTTTGAAACTCTTCTCTTTTGCTTCTGCTTCTTAAATTGATCTGTCTTGACTTCCTGACTTTGTGATGTATGATTCTATGGTAAGAGACCATTCCTTTTTTCTTTCTTTCTTTTTTTTTTTTTTTTTTTAATTTCTGGTTCTATCTCTGATGATGTCAGCTGTTAACCCTGTCTGACCTTAGGCAGTCCTGAAGAGACTTCCAGGAATCTGCTGTCTGTATCTGTCTTCTGCAGTTTTTAATGTAGTCACTCTGTCCTGAGAAGACAGGCTTAGGCACCACAGTGCAGGGAAGAGCCCCTCCTATGGGTGTGGTTATTGTGTCCTTTCATGTTGCTGCCACTCAGGGGATTGGTCTGCCTGAGCATCATGGCCGCCGTTGCATGGATGCGGAGTCAGCATGGGCATTGCCCTAGACACTCCCTCAGTTATTCCCCTAATACCTCTATTACCAGAACCTTCTTAAGTGTCTCCAGAGCACTGAAAGTCCATTTTAACCAGAGATCTACTATCTGGGACTTCTGCAGTGTACTCAGCACCCAGGCCTCTATAATTCTTGGCCGAGTCCAAACCTCCTGTGAGTGTGGCTAATGTGACTTCTCACTCTGCTGATACTTGGGGGAGCTGTCTGCCTGAGCAAAATGGCCACTGCCAAATGGGAGGTAATTCAGCACTGGGACCCCACTGTCTACTTTCTCAGTTCTTTCTCCCAAGCCTCCTTCTGCAGTCTCTCCTCAGGCGACTCCTGGCCACTCTGCAACCCTCTCTGCTAGAGCCCATTTTAAGTGGCTCTCACTACAAATTTTTGTATTGGCCCTTTACATGGCTCCCTGTATCTCCAGCTGCCTTTCTATGGCAGGGAGCACATGGCCTCTTTTCACAGATGGCTGTTATCTGGGTGCTTTTTGGGCTTTGGTGCTGTAGGCTGGAGATCCCTGCTTATGGCTTAGACCCTGCTCTTCTCAGAGGAATCCAACTGGCCCTTTCAATATCCCTCTGATGCACTGCTGCCCGTGGGTACCTATTCCACCTTCTCAAACCACTACTGCACTCTGTACCAGTTATGTGCTGCCAAAGCTGTTTCTTCTGTCTCTCTGAGGTTATAAGGTTACACTCTTGCTATTGTTCAATTGTTTTCCAGGTGATTTCTCCACAATTCAGCTTTAATTCCAGATTGGTCCTGAGGTCAGTGTGACTTCTACTCACTCCTCCACCATCTTGAAGTCCCACCAATGAAACAGTTTTAAATAAAGATTTCCATATGTATATAGTTTCCCCAAGTCTTTGGTGGCTTGGAACTTTGGAGAACTGCTAGATTAAATGGTGAAAATTATTAAATATCTTGATAATTTGAAGTAGCATATTACTAAGGTGTTAATTGATCTGAGTTTCCTACTCTGGCTTCTTAATGCAGAGAAGGTAGAGTGTGGATTTGGTTCTCTCAATAAATATGCATTGTTTTTTATTTGAAATATTCCTCTTGAAAATATGAATGTGTCATTGGGGGAAGGAGACTGTTTCTAAAAGTTATGTAATGTTGAAAAAAATATCAATAAAGAATGCTGCTTTTAATTCTCACTCTAAATCATGGTTTCTAAGATTAAAGAATTCTAATTAAGCTGGAAAGGAATTATATGATTTCATGAGACCATAGAAGGTATGAAACTCTTATTAGAGAAATAGAGGACAATAACTTACTCTCAGATTGGTTATTTCTGAATGAATTTGAAAAACTAAGTTAAAAGAGAATGTGTACAACAAGAAAAACTGTACCCCACAGTTTATGAAATTAAATGTTTATAAAAAGAAATCTTGGTAGGAAAGTATATAGTTGAGCTGTATCATGAGTTAAATTAGGTAAATGGTTATAAATGCCAAAAGTATGCTAATGAAACTTTGTTTAGTTCTTCCTCAGTCTATTAAAAGGGAAACGCATTTTCACTTTGGCATAGAAAAACTGGATTCTATAATTTTTATAAATATTAATGTGTTATAGAATCTTAATAAGTTACTCGATAATTAAAAACACATATTCTGTATTGTAGACCTAAAAATGGGCTCTCTTTTATCTATGTTTGATACCTCATTTTTTACATTGTGGAAATAAATTTCTAGTAAGTTAATATTTTTCTTAATGATATGTATTAATTTTGTCAAATAGGTTTTATAAACTTGCCCGTTTAACTTTTAAGAGACTTTTTGTTGATCTAAAACTGGCTTTGTGCCATTCCAATGAGTTCCTGGAATTCCATGTGGATTCATAATTTCTTTGCATGGAGGAGAATTTTTGAAAGGGTTAGGCCTATTTGATATGCTTGTCTCTCTTTCATTTAATTATTTTTCTAGAGATTTCTCCTTTCTCTTTGTGTAAAATGGAAGTTGTGTCTGATGAAGAATTAATAGCTATGTTCTATTAATTCAAACTTCTTTCATTATTAAAATGGATGTTTAGATATTACATAAAAATCTGCAAGTGTATAAAAGGTTCTGATATAATTTCATTTGTAAATTTAAGATCTTGAAATGTTGTTTTAGAGAAGAAAACTTCTTTGTCAATTGCAGAAAAATCAGATATATAACCTTGTCATTTGATTTGATAACCTTGACACAAAGAAGCCATTGAAATATTCCCACTGACTGTGGCTCCCTTGTCTTATTCAGTTTGGTAAATGCTCTGATACGGATAGGTATTTAGGGTCACACCCAGTCCAACCCTTCTTCTAGAGGGATATATATATAAATAAATTCAGGAAGACCCAGGCCCTCAGGGCACATGCCTCCTCATTCCCTTTCCACCTTCTGCTGAAACAGCTTCCCTGAGATCATGGGCCCTACATGCCACCTAGTGTTCAACCCCCTCCCCACAAGGGAGGGTCCTATCTGGCCAGACATGGCATGGACTTCTCAGTGTCTGGATCACAGAGTTGAAAACTGATCCCTGAGCTCAGGATGTTACCTCAGAGACACCATGTGCTTAGACAAGTCAGGATAAAGTGAATTGTCCTTAGTAAATGCCAGTGACACTGCAGGAGCTCCGACACGGGGCTCTGTGCAGACACCAGGGAGCCCCTTTGCTGGAGCTGCCAGATGAACTGACTCAGCTCACAGCCCTGAGTCCAGAAGCTCTCAGTGGCTTGGAGGGGCACTAAAGTCCACAGGCTCTTCTTGAAAGTCCCATATGTGGATCCCTACACATGGTCCTCATGCCAATAACCTTCTACTGTTCAATAAATCACAGGGAAAAACTGACACAAGCCCACACATACACTGAAACTTTTCCTGGTAATAACCCCAGGCCCCCTCTCTCCCCAATTCCTGGTTCAGTGGAAGGATCCCCACTCATCCTCCCAATGACGGATGCACTTTGTTGACAGAAGAAAAGCAAACACGACTGATGTGAGGACTGGAGAGAGCCCAGCCTTGTGGTTTCCTATCCAACCAGCACCAGGAACCTGCAGAGGCCATGGTGAGAAGATCCAGGACTTCCTGGGGAAGTTCAGACCTAGGGTTCCCTTTTGCACTCAGTGTAGCCAATACTGACCTAATTTTGGGGTGGAGGGTCTCTCTGACCTACAGAGTACAGGTCCCCCTCTCAGAGAGCACTACCTGAAGCCTCGAGGGTAGTGACAGAGTGGACATTGGACCAATGTATCGCCAGGAGCAGAGGCAGGTGATGATGCAGGAATAGTGGAGCCAGAAAATTGGTTGTAGCATGTCAGTCTGTGGACCATGACAGTGTAGGTTTCCATGGCTTCCTCTTGTGTCCTGAGCACCCCTTGCAGCCCGGAATCTGTGTTTCCTGCAGGCAGGTTTGTGTCTGGGCTCTTGCTGACTTCCCATCACTGTGTCTCTTGCACAGTAATACACAGCTGTGTCCTCGGTGCTCATGGAGCTCAGCTGCAGGGAGAACTGGTTCTTGGACGTGTCTGTGGAGATGGAGGCTCGGCTCTTGAAGGACGGGCTGTAGTGAGTGCTTCCACCACTATTTATTCTCCCGATCCACTCCAGCCCCTTCCCTGGGGGTTGGCGGATCCAGCTCCACCAGTTACTATTGGTAATGGAGTCACCAGAGACAGTGCAGGTGAGGGTGAGGGTCTGCGAGGGCTTCACCAGTCCTGGGCCTGACTCTTGCAGCTGCACCTGGGACCAGACACCTGGGGACAAAGAGCATCGGTCCATGTCAGTCACATGCAGTCACCACTGTCCCATAGACATTTATCTGACATCTCAGAAACTCACCCTGAGGGGATGTCAGCAGGCACAGGAGGAGGCCCAGCAGTTTCATCTTATTCTACACGCAGGTCTGGCTCCCCCAGTGACTCAGCGCCCTGTGAGTGGGTAACCGTGAGCCCCCACAGCCCAGGGGAGGATTTAACAAGGAGCTGAGAAAGAAATTTGCATATGGTGGATGCTATTCTCATAAGCGGGGAGACAGTGAGGCCACTGTCCTTCTGGGTCCTGAGCACATTTCTTCTCTTGGACTGGATGGCATAGGTCAGGTATGGGAGAGAAGCGGGGATATGTGTCAACTTTGAAACATGCCAAAACACCCGCCTTTCTTTCTGTCTTTAACACTTAAAGCTCTACTGGGGGAAGGAACACACTATTTTAATTCCATAGATTATTCAAGAGGATCTTTAAATATATTAATTTATACCTATACATATTCCTAAGTCCAAAGAAACCCATGAAGTAGACACATCCTTTCCAGATGGCATAATCATAAGTTCATATGAAAAAGAACTTGAGGTACATTTTCATGTACAAATATTTCAAAGTAAAGAATAGTCTTTCCCTTGCCCGCCCTGGGACCTCTTTGCTTGCAGATCACAGAGCAGGTGCAGCCTCTGTCTCAGTCCAGCTCCACAGTCCAGGTGACACAGATTAGGACCTGCTGCCCAAAGTCCAGCTCTGGCCCTGTAGCTGAAACAGGTGTTACACACGCCGTGTCCTTCCTTTCATCTGAGTTCCCCCAGGAAGTGCAGCCCCTTCCCACTGGTGAGCATCTCAGGAGGCTCCCCAGGTTCCTGGACCACATGGCCCCTTGAGCCCTTGAGGCACCTTCTCCCAGAGACACACAGGCTCTGACTTTGGGCCAGCAGGTGTCCTGAGATGTATGAGGAGGACGGGCACTGCTTCCTGGTCACAGAGGGTCAGGTTGGAACCTGCCATGCCCATGTTCACCTGAGCGCCTGAGGGAGGATCTGGAGGCTGATGTCCTGGGAAGGGGACTGGGAGCTCCTGAGGCCAAGGTGACAGATGGATGGAAACCGATGTGCAAAGTAGCTGTACCTTTTAGTAAATCACTTAAGTGAAGTAAAGCACATGATGAAACTCAGCAGCCCAGTAAAGGCTTAAAACCAGGTTTGCTTGCCTAATCTCGCACACCCTCCATCCTCAGAAACCACTCACTGCAGTGTCTGCCATCTCACAATGCACAGCAAGGACTGGAGCACATCTGAAAGACTGAGCACATATAAGGACCCGCTAAGAGATTTCCTCATGTGACAAATGTCTCTGGAGTTCCTCCCTTTGGGAACAGAAATGGACAGAATGATGAGGAGGTGTAGCCAAGTGAGACCAAGGTGGCATCTGTGACAGGGAAGGCCCTACTGCCCTGCAGGGGCTAAGGGATCCCATCAGCAGTGCTGGAACCTTCCCCTTGTGACCAGCTTGAAGGAAAGGGAGGTGGATGCCAAGGAAGGGAAGCTGTGAGAACACTTCATCCACCAAGCAGCACACCTGGACAAGTGGTGTACACTTGTGCTCTGTAATCCACTCTTGTCTCCTCCCCAACATGGAGGACAACGGAGGCCCTGCTTAGGGACTTTGATAGCTCAGGGCGTCCTCACCTTCCCCGAGGACCCTCAGAGTGAACATGTTTTCCCCTTGTCACGTTTGCCTGCGATGCTGCTGAGAGGTCCATTTCAGGTGGGTGTCTCTGTGCCACAGTTTTCCAAGAGCTTTAGAGACTGAAACCCAGGTAAGTGGCACATGTTGAAGGTCTTGTTGTTCTTCCTCCTGCACCAGGTTAGGTGCTCAGAGGATGCAACAAAGAGAAATTCATGGGGACAAAGTGTCTCCTGAGAAGACTGTGTCCATTCTGTATGGCATGGTCCTGTTGTGGTGAGTGTCCTGGAGAGTCGTGTGTCCACACAACTCATTCTGGTGACTACATATATAGAGAGTGCTGGGTCTTAATGATATGCCACCCACATCACATCTCCCTCAAATAGGACCTGGGTCCTTGTCATGTCCTGACCCCTCTCAAGATGTGACTCCCCACTGTCCTTGATCCCACACCTCCACATCACACACGACTCTCAGCCCCAGGATCCCTGTAGCCCAGAGTCCTGGACCAGGCTCCCCTTCTTCCCAGATTCCATTATCTTGAAAATACACATAGAACAGTCACACTGCTTCTGACGGTTTTGCCCCAAACATTCACTAGGATAATCTATTTTAACTGCACACAGTGACATTAAATACATCCAAAAGGTTGTGAAACCTGTCACCCTCCAAGTCAAGAATTCTTTCCCACACTGACTCAGTACCCTTTAAATAATAACTCCCCATCTCCTGTTCCCCAAACGAGTTACCCCTTTCACGCTCTGCCTCCACGCCCTTGACCCTCCGTCTCCCACAGACCTGGAAACGCAAGGCCACTGTGGTGTTGAGAGTGGCCCATTTCCCCAGGCATTGTGTCTCCAAGGCACATCTGTGTTCTTGCATCTGTCAATGTTCTCTTCTTTCTAAAGGTGTATGATATTTTGTGGTGAGGATGGGACACATCTTCCTATTGAGTTTCCTATAGTTGCTTGGAAATAGGTGATTTGGCTATTTTCCTGATCAGGGAGGAGGGTCCACAGCACAGGAAAGGCAGACAACAAACTCAGGTGAAAGGAGTCAACAGGTGATCACCTGAAATGGACAGGAAACTCCCATGGCCAGAGGTGGTGATGAGATGGGACAAACAGTAACAATTCCCATGGTGATCTTGGGTCCTCTGTCATGGTCTCCCATTCATCCTGGAAGCAGCTGGATGAGGAGAAAGGGGAGGGAGGGACACAGCCTGTGAGACAAGGGCAAGGCAGGTGGGACCCTTGATTGGACAGGAACAGGGTCTTCCTCTGGGTCACATGAAACTCTGACTGGAGTCCCTGAGACAGAGGCACACATCCAGGCCCTGCCCTGCGGCTCTGAGAACATAACAGACTGTGATAGGAATCGTGTTCAGGGTAAATGGAAGAGAAAGTGTATGTAAGGGTCACAGAGGAGTCTGAAGGTTAGTTCAGTCCAAGGACACAGCCCTGAGATGCAGAAGGAACCCATGTGCCCTGGGAGCTGGAGGCAGGACCAAAGCTCATGAAGAGGCTACTAAACCAAGGCCCTCAGGCAGATGGGTCTCACTGGTCCCCTGCAGCAATGGTCAGGTGGGTCCCCACCCATTAGGAAGGACAACCTGCCTCACCCAGTTCACGGACATAAAATACCCTCCCAGAGCCCTGGCTGGTGGAGCTCAGTGGATTGAGTGCTAGTGTGCTAATTAAAGAGCCATCAGTTCAATTTCCAGTCAGGGTTCAACTTGGATTGCAAGCCATCCCCTCATAGGGGACATGCAAGAGGCAATCACACATTGATCAATATCCAACCATGTGGCAGAGAGGAAGTGGCTCACTGCTCCCAAGCAGACAGGGATCCTGACAGGGCAGGCAGCCTAGGGCTGGTCATTTTCATGGTGGGAGCTCTGTACTGTGTGAGGAAGAAAACATGGGTTCAGAACTGTTGGCTCAGTGCTGCCCTGGAGTGTGAGGTGTCATCGTCAGTTGGGACTCAGTGAGAATTCCTGACATGTGTTGTTTGTCAGCCAGAAAGTGCAGACTGTACAGGGATAGGAGGGCAATGAAAACTCAGATGAGAAAGCAGCCTTATCTGTGAACCCCATTCCTTCCTACTGGGAAGCAGCAGAGAGTGGAAGAAGTTACAGACACCTAAAGGAAAGCAGGAATTGCCCCAGGGTCAAAAAGAGGGGAAGTCAATGACCCTAAAGGGAAACCTTTCCATAAACCCTCTAGGAACCAGCTTCTGAGGGCCACCCCTCCATTCAGTTGCATTGATCTACCAGGTGTCTGGAACATGCCCTGGTGTCCTGATCACCCCATGGGGGCACTGATGTCCCTGGTGCTCTCAACAACCCTTGTGACACTGCTGTCCCTTGTGCTCATTGGTGAGCCCATGTGGCACTGATGTCCCCTTCTGTTTTGAGTACATCTTGGTAGCACTGATGTCCCTGGTGCTCTCAGTGCTCCCTGCTGGTACTGAACTCCCTTGTGCTCATGAACGACCTTGAGTGGCACCAATGTCCCCTGCTGCCCCGAGCAGCCCCTGCAGCCCCACCATCCTGTCTCCCTCAGGGAGGCTTGTGTCTGCAGGGCAGGGGAGCCAGGCTCCCTCAGTATCTGAAGAGTTTCCCACAGAAAAGCACTGTAGCCCTGGCCGGAGTGGCTCACGCTGGCAAGTTAACAATAAGGCCACGGTCACAGTAGATGCCTGGGCTTTCATCAGTTTTGGGGTGTGTGTGAGAAAGAAACCGTTTCACTTGGATGTCCCCTCCCCCCTTTTCTCCCGCACTCCCCTTCCCTAAAAAATAAAATCTTTAAAAATATTATTTCACAACATAATGTGAAAGTAATGAAAATGAATTTTTTTATTTCACAATAATGTTTAAAGTTACATATTTCCTCCATGTGATATTGGCAAGTCTTATAGAATTTAAAAGCCAAAATTTCACAGAATGTAAAGTCCAGGGGATATCATGATGGGTAGATACCGTCATGGGACGTTAGGAGATGAAGGTGGGGCAGGTGACTGTGCACATGCTTATTCAGCCTCCTGCTGTGACTGCTCACGTTGGGGACTGGGGATGAGTGAGGAGGCCCCAGGCCCATGGAGCTCAGGGTCAGGGTGGTATTTAGGGAGAATTTGGCCAGTAGGTGTCAGTGGGTTCTGATGAGGTGCATTTCCACAACCAACCAGTCAATGAGGGGCTAGAGTTGAATGTGTGACAGGGAGGACAGTGACCTGAGAGGGGAAGGTCCAGGGGGTGGATCACAAACCCTTGGGGCAAAGTGTGTCTGTTAGAATGAAGAAGATAATGCAGGATCTTGTGTATATTTTGGGGGGCCGGAGCCTGAGCTAAATACACAGGGGGCTGAATGTGGCTGGTCCCCACTATGTGGGAAACATTTCCAACCATGGGGAAGAGGAGAGCACACAAGGTGGTTCTTTGTCAAGGTGCAAAAGTGTCACAAAGGAGCACA